GAGAAAGGTCCGTCCAGTAAAATATCCTGATTTTAAGTCGATGCTGGCTGAAAGGTGGATGTGGTTTTGTTCCGAGGAGACAGGCAATCAGAAGATAATTACTTTTCTGCTGCCTGCATGAATGGTATGCACAGCCATGCATGCAGGTAAAAACACCTTGGATGCTTTGGGAAGACAAACAGGAAGTGATGAAGAGCAGAGGGAAGAACAGAGATTTCTTAGTGCCCCAGTTAGGCATGTTGAGGATTTGGCATCAAACATGTTCACTGGGCAAATATACTTCTTCAAGGGTTGTGTCTTACCAGCATGCCAAGCCTCAGTTGATCTCAGGCCATGCCTCCTCCAGTGCTTGTCATCTGACTCAAGCAGTTTTGCAGCCGCACGGTAGCTCTCCGGCTGATAGATTTCATTTCTCGCCTCCACTTTCACACCTGTGCACTAAGGTAAATCGGTTTTGCTAGAAGGTCATTAGAATACCCGGATGGTTGAATATGTCCCCTCTGTGCCTGTGCAGTAGGAAGCATCAGCACAAGCTGGTCCCCCTGCACTGTGGGAAGATGGGGGGGAAAGCTACCAACTCCTCATCCTAGTGCCAGGAAAGGCAGGGCACAGTGGCACACATCCTCTCTCCCCTCCCCTGGCCTCTCTAGCAACAGTCACAAACTATGAACTTGCCCTTTCAATGGGAGTGTCACCCCTTTCAGAACATGTTGAATCCTTGTTCCTTTAGTGGATTTATCATTGACCAATAGTATCCTCAGTCTTTGAGGTAGGGATGTGGCCAGGGGTCATTTCATAGAAAAAGAGGTGCAAGAGCTCATTAGTATATCTCATTAGCATAACTTATTTGCATATGCCACACCCCTGACATCACTGGAAGTTTGTCAGAAGGCAACACCCACTGCTCATGCTCCACTGGACTGTTTTGGATTGCTAGCTATTGGGGGGGGGACGTGCAGATCTGTCCTCGCAGAGGAGGGAGAGCTTGTACCTGAATAAAACTTGGTCTTAAAGGTGCCACTGGACTGTTTTGGACCGGGGGGACACGGGGAGCTCTGCAACTTACCTGGCTGCTTCTTGCTCTGATTGAGGGCTGCTGGGAGCTGGGGGTGGGGCTTGTTGCATATGCCCGCCCCCTGGGCTCTTTACTGCCGGAGCTCCGCTCCTGTGCGCTCCTGCAGGAAATGACCCCTGGATGTGGCTCAGTGGTAGAGCATCTGCTGGGTTCAGTCTCCCACATTATCAGATAGCAGTAGATGTGAAAGCCCTCTGCGTGGTACCCTGGAGAGCAGCTGCCAGTCGGTGTGTTCGACGCTGAAATTTTTTTGGCTGTCAAGTCACAGCTGACTTATGGCAACCCTGTAGGGTTTCCAAGGCAAGAGATGTTCAGAGGTGGTTTGCCACTGCCTGCCTCTGCATAGCGACCCTAGTATTCCTTGGTGGTCTCCTATCAAAATACAGACCAGGGCTGACCCTGCTTAGCTTCCAAGTTATGATGAGATCAGGCTTGCCTGGGCTGTCCAGGTCAGGGCTACTGGGGGAAATTATGTGGGGAGAGGAATGAACTATTTCATGAAAGCAGACCAGCTCAGTGCTAATAATATATCATTGGGCTTTCTTGTTTGCAAGTATGCAGGGCTTTTTTGGTTTTTAAAAAAGTTGTCAGTACTCATATATAATACTGAACCAATTTCCACCAATTCCCCTGTCAGGACTTGGGAGAACTGGCCCCCCAAAGGTGTTGGTACTCAGTATTCAGTAACGCCCCCCTCCAAAAGCCTGTATGTTTGCACACTGCATGTATGTTTGCACACTGAAAATTCCTATGTTGCCCTATTAATATAAAATGGTGACTGCATGTATCAGGAGTATTGCAGGTAGATTGTACACTTCTCAGTGAGCCCCCAGTACACCTGGCTGTAACATCTGAAAAGTACTATACTCTGAGTTCCTTTTTTCAGATTCCACTATCAAATCAAATCAAGTTTTGGAGCTATCTGGGGGGAGGAGAGGTTTTCTTCTTTCTTCTACTATTAGTCAAAGTAAAGCACCTCATCTTGCAGCAGGACACAGAAGAGAAAAAATTAAATGGTAGCAAGTGGTCAATACTTTATTATATTATTGTTATATTTTAGTACCAGGAGTGAGTGGGTGCATTTGCTGCCTCAAGCACTAAAATGTTTTGTACCATCTCTGTTTGTTTCTGCTTTTAACAGCTGTCAGCAGAGACAAAATATAACAGCATGAGGGGTAGATGTAGAAATTAGGCATGTTTCATTCAGAACAAAACATTAGCGTAAGTCTCCATAGAAGCTTTTATATGTGTGCATATAAAAACAAGGATCAACTGTGTCGTGTGGCAGTTGAAGGGCAAAGAGAAGAAGCCAATTGGTTTGAACAGTGCTTTGCTGGAAACTGGGAAACAATCCTATCTGTAGCCTGAAGTCTGTTTTATGCATAGTTCTGGCTGCTCAATGTCTGTTTTATGCTGCCCCTTTCACAGAAAGTGAAGCCTATTCACAGAAACCTATTCAAAGAAACCTATTTGGATTTCTTTGCACCCTGTTGCAAGGGAGCATGAGTCTCAAGCCCTTAGGATGATATCCAAAATTACGGTTCTGAATTGATGATATACCGTCTTTTCATATAAAGTGGGCACATACTCCTCCTCAAATGTGGATGTGGTTTACAGTGCATAGAAGTCCATGGGCTTAGAAGGACACAACACTGCATAAAATTGCACTCTTAGAGTTCTTCATTTACATCACATAAAAAGCAAGTGAAATGGTAAAACTGTTCTTGGACAGCAGCACCATAAGTTGCTGGTGGGAGATCACATAACTGACTGTATCTTTACGAAACTGTTCCCTCTTTGCAGGGCCGGCCCCAGGTTTTCTTGCACACTAGGCGAGGATACCTTCTGCCCCCCCCCATGCGCCCCCAATTTTCAAACATACATGCATTTTAGGAAGAATGAACAACACAAAATATAAAAGGTTCTGAGGTCGGTGGGGCTGAGAGAGCTCTTTTGAGGACTGCCCTTGAGAGAACAGCTCTGAGAGAACTTGTGACTGAGCCAAGGCCACGCCAGCAGCTGCATTTGGAGGAGGAGTGGGGGAATCCAACCCAGGTCACCCAGATTAGAGTCTGCGCTCCTAACCACTAATTCCTGGGGGTGGGAAGGCCAGTGGCTCCTGCTCCTCCAAGAGGAGGATGGCTGCGCTTCTGAGTGCACTGAAAGACCCGGTGGCGCACGGCAGTCACTCACCCAGTCAAGAAAGTTGCAGGGCTTTTGGCAGGGGGGCCTTTTGGTGGGGGGCAGGTGCCAGTTTTGTGCCCCTAAGGACCGGCGCGCTCTAGGCGAGCGCCTCGTTCGCCGAGTGAGTGAGCCAGCCCTGCCTCTTTGGCTGCGGTCACACACACTAAATAATCCACTTTCAATCCACTTTCAGTGCACTTTCCAACTGAATTTTACTGTGTGAACTGACATGTCAAGTTTTAACAGGTCAGGGAGAAGGCTAGGGTAGAATACCCCCCCTGGCATCTCCCTTCCCAGGTACAAGGAGTGACTGTGGCTTAGGAATAGAGTACATGGTTTGCATGTAGAAATTCTTCATCAGTTCCCCGTAGCAAGTATTGGGAAAGAACTTTCTCTTCCCAAAGTGCCACGGCCACAGTAGACAATACTGAGGCCAAAGAATCCATGTGATCTGATTCACATGAATATGTGAACTTCCTAATATCAAGTCAAATCAGTGGTCTTTCTAGGTCAGCACTATCTACTGCAAGGGTCCCCGACCTTTTTGAGCCTGCAGACAACTTCGGAATTCTGATGCAGGGTGGTGGTGCAACCACAAAATGGCTGCTGCAGGAGGGAAGCCTACCAAAAATGGCTGCCAGAAGAGGTGGAGCCAACCACAAAATGTCAGGGAGTGAGATCATGCATAACTCTAATAGTAACTTTGAACATTTCAGGCCAAAGCTCTGTTTAACAGGCTACCTGTTAAACATATTGCTTAAAATTATTTTCTTGCATACATACAGCTTATCTTCAGGCAGCCAATGGAAAGCAATGGAAAATTGCTGCTGAAGCAACTGTTTAAAAATCTGCACAGCCAATCAGATCTCCAGTGGCCAATGAGAAGCCCTACTGGGGAAAAGCTCCACCTGGCCCCTCCCACTTTCTAAAAAACAGTTGTCAGGTATCATGGTGTCCACAGGTTTCCTTGGGGACAACTGGTCTACTGTGATTGGCAGTCATTCTCCAGGATCTCTGGTCAAAGCCTTTACATCATCAAGTACATGATCCTTTTAACTAGAGATGCTGGGGATTGAACCTGGGACCTTCTACATGCAAAGCAGATGCTCTTCCACTGAGCCACAGCCCCTCAAAGTAAAGACAACTTTTTATTGAAGAAACTTTCATCCTGCCTGACTACCAAAGTAGCACACAGGCAACTCACACAACTTAAATGCTTTGTTTTTAAAAAACTAAACACCTAATTAGAACCATGGAAGAATTTAGCAATTGGAAAAAAACCAAACGGTTGCTTCATATAGGATGGGCATTGAGTCATGAGACTGCTTCAGTTGCAAGTCTTAAGAGATACAGTTCATAAGAATGTAGAGATTACACATTCAGTTGCTGAGTTTTGTGCATTAATTCTTAGATTGCGGGAATCACATTTTAAAAGTTCTTAAATTCAGATTTCTATTTTTGTATGACTGTTTTCTTCTTCTTCTCTCCCTCACATATTATGTTTACTCTGTATGTTGGTCTTAAGACCGTAAAATTCAGACACAAAAGCACAGAGAAGTGTTAGAAGTTCTGTTATGAAAATAACCACCCAATTAATTTCAGTATCTATGTTGCAAGAGGGTAAGTACAGATGCTGAACAGCTCAATTAGCAAGCGGTACCTGGCAGGTATGAGGATGTCAGGAGACAATTAATTATTGCCTCCTAACCCTGCCCTCCCAATACAGCAGGTTAAATGCCAACACAGTTCAGTCTTGAACTACATTTAGATCTTGTTCCTGCCAGCAATATGAAGACTTTGAGTGCCATCCTCATTGTGGGCTTCCTAGTCCTTTGGGCAGAGATGCAGCCAACATCTGGTATAACCATCCCATATGGTAAGTTCCAAAAGCATCTTCTGCCTCAAGGGGTCTTCCAGGAGCAAAGGGGCCTTCCAGCTTAGCTAAAAATTGTATTTCTTTTTCATTAGTATGTCATTTAATGCAATGATTTTAAAGAGGGTGCATGATTTGGGATCTACCAAAGCTGCATGTCCACTTTGATTTGGCTTCCAAACCAAACCAGTGTTTTTCAGAGGATCCACACACAATATCGTCTTCCAGCTCTTCACTTTCTGGGTTTTCCTTTGCTTTGTTTTGTTCTCTCCCAAACCTGCTTTGCTATGGTCTTTCCTGAAAGGTCGCTGTCAAAGTGGATCTGCATGCATTTTCAAACCTTCCACACACACCACCATCATTTTACTTCTGTCATCCACTATTCCCCCTCCCCACGCCATCAGGAGGCTTTAAAAATTGTAGTCCCTACATTACTGTAGTATTCTTGCAATGTGGGGTGGGAAATGATGGAAGTGAGAAGATGACAGGGGAAGTGATGGAGAATGCCTTTATGTAAGAATGGAGCCTGGGCAGCTATGGACATGTTTTAGTAACTCAGAGGGTGAGCCTGGTAGGTTTTGGTGGAGCAGGAGGTGACTTCTCATAGGTTTTGGCGAGTCAGGAAGTAGAGCTAATCTGGTCAAGAAATGGGATCAACAAAAAATTAGATTCCCAGTTCAAAATGTCTAGTTCATTTAAGGTAGTTTCATAGGGTAGCTGTGTTGTTCTTCAGTAGAACAGCTAGACTTCGGTCCAGTAGCACTTTAGAGACCAACAAGAGGTCAGGAAGCAATTTTTCTCCAGGCCAGTTTGGCTGGGGATCCTGGAGGTTTTTTTGTCTTCTTCTGAGCATGGAACAGGGGTCACTCAGTGTGTGTGGGGGGGTATTTGTGGATTTCCTGCATTGTGTAGGGGGTTGGACTAGATGACTCTGGATGTTCCTTCCAACTTTATGATTCTGTGATTCTAAGATTTTTGAGATATGAGGTAACTGATAAAGGGACAGGCCCATAGCCAAGATTACTAAATTGGGGGGGGCACACTGTATACACCCCCTTACACACCCCTAAGGGAGTGCCACAAATAAAATAAAAAGGTGGAAGTCGGGGTGGGGGGGCTGGATGGGAAATCGGGGGGGGGCTTTGGTAATAAGTCGGGGGGGTTGCGCCCTGAGATGCCCCACTGTAGCTACGGGCCTGCGAAGGGAGCTTTGACTCTTGAAAGCTCCTATGCCAAAAATCTTTGTATCTGACAGAGAGAGCTTTGACTCAGCAAAGCTCATGCCCTAAAAAACCTTGTTGGTCTCTAGGTGCTACTGGACTTGAATCTACCTAATTAATTTAATATGTTGAATCAAGAGCTAAAATTCCAAATGAGGATGTACTATACCTGACAGTTGGTAACCCTAGTCATGTTGACAATATTTTCTGAGAGCTGGAAAGTTTAAAAACAGACTTAGTACAATTCTGAAATCTGTTGTAGATTCTTTCGATTAAGGTTGGATGACATAGCCCTTGTTTTTCACCAGAGCACAGCAAATGCACACATTCCAATGAGATTGATTCCACATTAGCGAAGCAACTCGTGTTTTCCAGAACTGTGTTCCCAGCTGTATACTTGTTAGAAACAAGTACACATCACCCTGTGCCAACCACACTGTGTGCCCAGTGCCTAGACATGTCAGAACCAGTGTGGTGTTGTAGTTAAAATTTTAGAACAGGTTCTAGGAGACCCAGATTGAACTCCCCACTCTGCCATGGAAGCTAGATGGGAAATCTGGGGCCAGCCCCACACCCTCAGTCTAAACTGACTCACAGGGTTGTTGGGAGGATACAGTGGAGGAGACAGAATGATATAAGCCACTTTGAGCCCTCACTGTGGAGAAAGACGGAGTATTAATGAAGTATTAATGAGAGCCAGTTTGGTGTAGTGGTTAAGTGCGCAGACTCTAATCTGGGAGAACCGGGTTTGATTCCCCACTCCTCCACTTGCACCTGCTGATGTGACCTTGGGTCAGTCACAAGCTCTGGCATAGCTGTCCTTGAAAAAGAGCAGTTTGTGTCAGAGTTCTCTCAGCCCCACCCACCTCACAGGGTGTCTGTTGTGGGGAGGGGAAGGGAAAGGAGACTGTAAGCCGCTCTGAGACTCCAAGTGAAGGGCGGGGTATAAATCCAATCTCTTCTTCTTCTTCTTCTAAATAAATAACAAATCGTTTCATTCATGACTTAGCTGGGAATACTCTCTGGGAAAGATGACGCTCTAATGAATTTGATGTAGGATCAATTTGGGGTAATGCTTCACTCTGTAACCTGCATTTGGGTATTTGCAGACCAGGAGAGAACACACAGAAAAGGGAATGCTACTAGTTCATGACTTGGCCAGCCAATCTCAGCACTAGAAACACAACAGTTATGAATCCGTTTTTCATTTGACTCTTTTTTCCCTCAGGTCTCAAGAAACCTGGACAATGTCCAATACCTCCTGGAAGATGCAGGATGATCGACCCACCTAATTATTGCAATTATGATTTTGATTGTGAAGGGCCAATGAAGTGCTGTCTAATGATATGTGGGAGAGATTGCGTCGATCCAGGTACTGTAGCCCAGACTGCTATATTACCTTGAAGCAGGGCAGGTTGTTGCCCTTGATGCTAGAGGTTTTCACAGCTGGGAGATAACATGGCTATTCCTGCAAGGATAGTAAATTGGAAAGTGCAAAGTGAAATGTCCCAGGGTGCTCAAGAAGATCCAAAGGCAGCTGGCTGGGGAAAAAGAAAAGCATAAGGTTTTCTTATGGAATGCAAATCATGGCAGAGAGTAGTGGGATCTGTTATGGCTTGCATGAGAAGAATCAAGAATGAAATCTCTTAGCAGTATCAAGAGCCTCCGCCCCCTTCCTCTGTGATAAATAATAATAGAGACATTATGAAGAACAACTCTGCATCTTTTGCTGCAAGCACGAAGTATGATTTGCATTGCCATTGCTCAATCCAATTTGGAATGTTTGGAGTGATATGTAAATTTTGGGCACCACAAAGATGTCTGACTCCAGGAAAGAAAACTGCCTACTGTCATGAGCAATGTGATCGCAGGTGCATATCATCATACTAATGTTGCCATCGTGACAGAGGGAAATGCCTAAGCAATTAATTCTGATTATCCCTTTTTTAATTTTAATGCTTCAGCTTCTTTCTAGATAATATTGCTTTATGTACGTGTGCATGTAGTAATGTCCTGTCAGAGCTTGCAAGCCATGGAACTTCATGAGGTTGCCATGAGTCAGTTGTGACTCAACAGAACACCTCACCTGATGCACATGTGCGTGTGTGCATGTGTATATTTCCTTAAATCAAAGTGGGGGGAATTAAGAATCCTTGTCCTTGCAGCTCATCATTGACACGAGGAAGATTCTGCTCTTAGAAAGTGGGAAACAATAGCAGAGAAAATGGAAAATGGGACTTTTGAATCTTATATGGAGATGTACAAAATGGATGTATACATTCAAGGGAGGGAATAAGCAGGCCTATAGCTACCTACAGTGGGGCATCTTGGGGCTAGGCCTCCCAACTTACTGTCAAGGCCCCATGACTTTTCATCCAGCCAAGGGCCCCCGAGCAGTGGCAGATGTGGGGAAGGAGCCGAGTATTCCTGCACAGTTGTCTGGCACGAAGGGCCAGCTACGGTGGCCACATGGAGCCAGACAGCACCTCTCTATTCCCCCCAGGAACTGAATTAAATTACCTTTAGTTTGGTTAGCCAGTGCCCCCTAAGAAATTTCAATGCCCCCTGACTTTAAAAAATCCTGGCTATGGGCCTGGGAATAAGTGCCACTGGAAGTAACATGAGATGTGATGTTGCCAAAGAGCGTGGCTATCTTTTTCCTGTAGCATAGATTTTGTTTCTGCAGAAGAAGAAGCTTATCCCCAATGGAGTAAAAGAAAGAAGTATCCTATTGTTTTCCTGCCCTGCTCCTGCCCTTATTATAGGGGGAATTCATTATTATTCATTGTGAAGGCATACTACACTGAAGCTCAGTATGGTTGCAGATCCAGTCCCACACAGCCACAACCCTGATGTATAATCTAGTTAGGAATAATATGAGTCTAATTGCAGTGGGTGAGGGATAGACATAGACCCATAGCTATTGGAGTTCAACGGTGGAGTTCAACGGTGCTTCCTTAAAGCACCTGTTCTGAAGAAGACCAGAAGTACCTATCTCTATAATCAATGATTTCAAAATAGAGGGACCCTAAGGGTACATTGGGAACATTGTCAGTTCGTACAAAACTGAAGAAACCTAAATATAAGCTAACGTATGTTAAAATTCTCCTGCCAACCTAGCAGTTCGAAAGCAAGAAATTGCAAGTAGATAAATAGGTACCACTTCGGTGGGAAAGTAACAGCGTTCCATGTGCCTTGGTGTTTAGTCATGCCAGTCACATGACCACGGAAACGTCTTCGGACAGCGCTGGCTCTTCGGCTTTGAAATGGAGATGAGCATCGCAAACCTAGAGTCGGACTTGACTGGCTTTCGAGCAAGGGAACCTTTACCTTTACCTTTATGTCAAAATTAAAGCTACTTGATTTATAAACCAATTTTAATACAGGAGACTTTTAGTTGACTGTTTACATTATGTTTTATGCTGTATATTTTTCTCTTGGTCCTTTTGATTGTTCTGAGTTTCAGTATTTCAAACTTCTTCCTACATATGCTCTGGCTCTTTGATCCTCCCTCCCTACGCATTATTCTTCTCATGGGTCCAATTATTTAACAATTTTAGTTCGGGGGGGGTTAGGGTTTTTCTTTTCTTTTTTAGGGTCCCCCCCCTTTCTTCTCCTCCTTCTCGTTCTTTTTCTTTTGTGAAGTGCTTTGGGAATTCTGGTCAAACAGCAGTATACAAATCGAGCAACCAAACCAATAAATAAAATGTTAGTTACGTTAAAATAAATTCCAATGCCAATACCAGTTTATCCCCAAGCCAGAAGAATAAATGTTAAGTGCCCACTGATTTATCCTTAAGCAATGACGAAAGCTGCCCTTGAGTAGACAGCTTTAATGGCCTTTTCCTTCCCATTCACAAAAGAGTGCTCTTCCATTATTGCGGGGAGAACATTAATTCTGATATGGCTCATACCTGGCTCAGCCTATGACATCATTATAGACATCATTTTTCTTCACTAGAGCTATTCGCTAGCAAATTGAACTGTTGAGTCTACCCATGATTTGGGATATGTTTAATCATCAGTAACATTCATTTGTGCAGCTCTATACGTATTTGGAAAATGTGGGAGTCAGACTATCAAATCCAGCCTACTAAATTATTGTGCTGATGCTCTTGGAGGTCATTTGGTCCTTAGAGCAGGGGAAGAGAAGCTTTATAATCCACATCAAAGACTGCAGAATGGGGTGACTTCCACAACAAATTCATTATTTGTGGTAGTAGCATGACTTGTGTTTCCCTTCTTTCCCCTTCTTTCATTTAGTATAGTCTTGTTTCACTGATGGATGCCCAGAACGAGCAAACACTATCACCCATGAATGTTCTTGTGAATGGGAATCACCAGTCAACGAACCACAGTTGCAGAAGACAACTCCAGCTGAGTGTATCATTGAACCAGATCTTCGGCAGCAACCAATCCAGCCTGAACCCCAGGAAGAAGTACACAGTGTTTGAAGGGGCAGTCAGTAGCTATTTTTTGGGCTTGATCTGAAGAGGGGAAAGTATAAACTCTTGCTTCATCACTTCAGCCTCTATACACATTACCTATTAATGCAACTTTTAGAAACCACACTTTTGCTGATGATCTATACTGCATGAAATCTAAACCATAGTAACATAATCTTTTTATGTTCACTTTTACAAAACAACAACAAAAAACCTTTTATATCTTATTGGGTTCCTATTGCAATGTGTCTTTTTTTTTTTTTTTTTGCAGTGTTGCAGCAAAAACTTTACACCTCCAAAAGCTATTTTCCATCTGAAATCATTATGGAAATTCAGCAAGCCAAGAATACAGCTTATTTTTTTACCATGTGGCTTTTCTGCAACAGGGAATAACTTTGCATAAATGGGAGTTTTTAAATGGAAGAGTCCGATATCCCAATTATCTTTGAATTCGATATTTGGAACTTTTTAAATGCAATAAACTATTTTATGCAGTAGTTGTGAAGTCCTGTTCATTAACCTTGGTGATGTAACTAATAATCTGAATGAAATTTCTCTCAAATTTCATATTTGAGCTGATTGGATAGTGCCATGATATTTTCACTCTGCTTTCAGATTTCATTTCCTTGCGCTGTCTTTAAGATTGCTTGCATATGCTAGAAGGTGTGGGGGGGAGGCAAAGTTTTCCACAACTTTTTCCATTCC